GTCCATCGTCAAGCTGGTGCGTGTGTGTGTGTGTATGTGTGTGTGTGTGTACACGCCCCCGTCCGGGGTGGCACTTGCGCGCGGGCGTACATCTCCCCCCCCCCCCCCCCCTCCTCCAGATTTAGCCTCAATACATACCCTCCACACACATGCTGTGCGCCCATTTCCCCGTGGCGGTTCTCTGCGCCCCCGCCTCCACTCCCCTGCCCCCTGGTGAGGCCTGTCGCTGTCTCCGCAGGTGGCGCGATGGGCTTTGCCCCGGCGGCATATGCCCCCCTCCCCCCCTCCTGGGCTTCTCTCGCCCCTTGCCCGTGTCTGTGGCACGGCGGGCGGCGACCGAGGGGAAGGCCGCTGCGGCGCTGCTTTGCTCGATGATTCTGGCGGGGATGCCGCTCTCGGCGTGCGTGTGTCTTGCCGCCGGGGCTTCCCCTGCGGCGCGGGCGGTCCCCCGGCAGGGCGGCGGCGGCGGCGCGGGACCGTGATTTAGGGCAAAAGTGCGCCGGCGAGCCGCACTCCGCTCCAGGGTGCTGGCGCGGTCAAAAAAGAACAGGGGAAATCCGGGAATCGAACCCGGGACCTCTCGCACCCTAAGCGAGAATCATACCACTAGACTAATTTCCCCACGGTGGAGGAACACACCCCGTGTGTGCTGAAATAGGGGCGACTGCGGGGGCATCGGGGCCTCGCGTGTGCCGAAGGCCGCGGGGCCCCCGATTGTGGGCGCGCTCGGCGCCCGGAGGCGCACACTGCCGGCTTGTGGCTTGCGCGCCCACACAGCAGCTCGCCGGTGCCTGCCCGTGGCGTGTGCGTGCACATCGCTGCCGAGTGGGCAGGTAGAGGGCGCCTCTGCGTGCGAAGGTGTGTGACCCTGCCCGTTCCCCACAGCTGCCCCAGCCCTTGCCGCCCCCCGCCCTCCCTTCTCGGCCTGCCTTGCTGCCCCTCCTCCTGGCTGGACATGGGATGGTGCTTTTTTTTGCCTAATCTATTCTCGGAGAGTACAGGGGGGGGGGGAGGAGGAGGCGGAGGCTTGCGCGCCCGGCACGCCCGAGGGGGGACCCATCCGCCAGGCGGCGGCCCGGTCGTTCCTCGGTGCGATGTCGAGCGAGATCTCCGGGCGGGGGGGCGAAGCGCGGGGGTGGCCTGGTGCGCCACCGGCAACCGACACAAGTGGTCCCTGCGCCGTGTGCGAGCTGCATCCTCATGTGCATGCTTTGGAGCACACACTCACACGCCCGCTCACACGGGTGGCCATCGGCTCTCGGGCGGGGGGTGGAGGGAAGGCAGCAAGACAAGCGGCAGGCTCGAAAATGTCGGCGGCGGAGGCGGCGCACCCGGGCCACCGTGCGCCCGGTGGTGTACTGTGTTCTTCGAGAGAGGTATCTCCCCAGCCTGGGGGATTATTTGGGAATCTAAAAGGGCCGGGCATTTTTCGGTGCCCAGCGCGCGGGGGGGGGGGGGGTATTTCTAAGGGGGGCGGTCATCATGACCGCGGCGGCGGCAGCGAGCCACTTACATGTCGACGGTGGCCTCGAACTGGGGGACGGTGCGCGGGACATTGCGCGGGGGGGTGGCGTTGGAGCCGATGCGGCGGCGGGCGCCGGCATTGGCGGCACCCTTGGCCGCGCCGTTGGGCGAGTACTTGTTGTAGCGGAACTTGACACCGAACAGGCCGTCGGTCACCTCGTAGTCATCCTCGTGGCCCTCGATCTGGAAGTCCTTGCCGGCGACGTCCTTCGGGCCCGGGGCCGAGGCGTCGATCAGGAACCGGGCGGTCTGGCCGAGCAGGCCGTGCGGGTCGGACGGGGTGCCGACCACGCTGGCGTGCAGGTTGACGTACGCCTCGTCGACCATGCCGCGCTCGAGCACCGCCCGGGCGATCATCTGCCAGGACCGGGTCCGGACAACCATGCGCGGCCGGGCGTCCACAATGTCGAAGACCACATCACCCTCGGGCAGGGTGACCGACTGGCCGTCGGTCATGGGGTTGCCGTTGAGGAAGGCCCCGAAGGAGGGGTCGAAGCCGATGGCATCGGTGCCGAGGAGGATCCCCACGCGGCCCATGTAGGTGCCGTTGAGGTTGTTCAGCCGCGTGAACTGGGCATTCACCTGGAGCGAGCCGTCGGAGATGATGTTGTACGAGCGCCCGGCGTGGCCCTCGACATAGAAGTCCGCCCCGTTGAAGCCCTTCAGGTGGGGGTCCTGCTCGGCCACACCGGAGTTGACCAGCTCGCAGGTGGGCAGCGACCGGCACTTGCCCTGCTCGCTGGCGCACATGTAGATGTTCTTGCCGTTGGACAGGCAGGACTCGGGCTTGGCCACCGACAGGGGGTTGGTGTTGTTCTCGCACTGCTTGACATTGGCGAAGCACACGGCCGCCGAGCCATCCGGGCAGGTGCACACCGGCTTGGGGGTGGGCTTCGGGGTGGGCTTGGGGGTGGGCTTGGGGGTGGGCTTGGGGGTGGGCTTGGGGGTGGGCTTCGGGGTGGGCTTCGGGGTGGGCTTGGTGGTGGGCTTCTCCTCGTGGTGGTGGTGGTGCACGTGCTTGATGCCGAGGCTGAAGTCCTTCTGCTTGGTCTTGCTCTTGGTCTTGGACTTCTCCTGGTGGCCGCTGGCCTTGATGTAGGTGGCGTGGTGGTGGCCATCGTGGTGGTGGCCATCGTGGTGGTGGCCATCGTGGTGGTGGTGGCCGTGGTGGGCCATGCCGTCGCCGCCGTTCTCCTTGGCCAGGGCCAGGCCCGGGACCGAGGCGGCCAGGGCAACCAGGGCGAAGGAGGCAATGGCGAAGAGGTTCTTAGAAATCATGGTGATTGAGGGGGAGGCTGGGGAGGTTCTAATCTAAAAACTAAACTAAGGGGGGGGGGGGCGGGCGGGGAGGCGCGAGTGCTTGTGCTCTTTGGGGGAGGCAGCTAGGGGGATTCAGCAGATGACTTTGGCTGTGAAAAAATTTATCCTCAAACGAGCCGCAGGGCCGGGCTTTTTATACCCCCCCCCCCCGCCCGCCCCCCCGCCCGCCCCCCGCCCAGCCTACTCGCCCGGCCTACTCGCCCGGCCTTGCCCTCCCGGCCCTGCGGCTGGCTGGTGGTGGGCCCCTGCCAGGGGGTCTGCCACCCAGGCGGAGACTGCGGTCCCCCCGCCCCTCTCCTCCCCAGCCGGACACCCAGGTACACGGTGCCCTGGTGCAGAGGCCCCATGCATGGGCGTCCGCACGCTACCAAGGGGATGACCCAGGGAGCCTGGCGGACTGGCGGACTGGCGGACTGGCGGCGGGCCTCGGGCCGGGTGGCGCGAGCGCCGGTCGGGGATCGGCAAGGCCGAGCACCACCCAGCTAGCCGGCCTGGAGGAGCCACGCACACTGGGCCTCGGCGCGCGGCTCGCCATGCCCGAGGGGGTCCGATCGAGATGCCGGCCGGGATGTTGGCGCCCAACCGGCCACCGGGGCATGGGCATGAGCATGCGTTCCCGAGGGCCAGTCTGCGGGGCATCTGTTGGCATCGTGTGCGCCGTGGCCGGGCCACGGGTGCGCCACAGCATGCAGGCCGTTGTTGGCCGGTGGCCGTCGTCAACAGCTGGCCTGCTGTGTCGGGAGCAGGACACAGCAGTCGGCCACGGGGATCGATGTGGCAGCCCAGACCTCGCCGCGTCTGCTCGTTTGCGTTTGCTCGTTTGTGTTTGCTCGAGTGTGTGTGTGTGTGCGTGTGCGTACACAATACCGGAAGCGGCGCCCTCCCGCAAGGCCGGACGCGCGGAGTCTTCGGCCACGCCGATCGCGGGCGTGCCCGAGCTCCGAGCGCGCATGCCCGGCTATGATGAGATGCTTCCCCCGCCCCCCGGGCGCGTCGGCGTGCATGCTAGACGGCCAGCCCGCCGGTCGCCCGACACGCGGGGCGGGAGCGCGAGCAGCCGGGCGCACCGACGCGAGGACGACCCCTGCGGGGCCAGGCGTCACGGCTGATGCAACCGCCGCGCGAGGGAGAGGCCGGCCGGCCGGGAGCCCGTGCCCCGGGCCCGGGTTCCCGCGCCCCGGGTGCGGTCGGCACTCAACCCGGCCGGCGTATCGCCGCCCGGCCTCGCGTCATCCACGCCGGGAGAATGATCGCAGGGCGGAGCCACCGCCACCAGGCCGCGCCGACGGCCCTGCCACCGGGGCAAAGGCACCCGCCCGCACCCCGGACCCCGGGCATGGGGCGAAATGGCGGCACAGGTTTCTGCCAGGGGCCCGCGCCGGGGATCTTGCCCGAGCCGGCGCCCCACCGGCACCCGGCCGGCTGGCGGTGCTCTCCACCACCAACGTGGGGGCATGATGGCGGCCGGCCGGCCGGTTACAAGCCACAACAGCAGGCCCTCCCCCCATCCCCCCATCCCCCCCCCCCGGGTGCGATCATCATTTATCGGCCCCGACATGCGCCACTCGGGCCGGCATAATTGTGCTCCGGCTACCTGCGTAATGGAGGGACACACACCCGGTGCCCCCACTCGCCGCCCTTTCAGGGAGGCGTCCCCCCCCCCCCACCCCACTCCCCAGGGTCGGCGCACGCGGCGGCGACCCCGACATGCAGCCAGGCCACAGCGGTGGCAGCTGGGGCAGGGACATGCGTCCTCGCGGCATCATCGGCCCGGGCCTCCGCGTGCGGTGGCGATTGGGGGGG